TTACATCTTTAAACGCTTTCACAACAAAAGAAAGAAGAAATCAGTAAATTAGTCTGGCAACTAAAAAACTACAAAAGCAAAGAATCGAAAACCCCCAATTAAACATCAAAGTAGAAATTCTGAAAACTAAAGAGATTAACGAAATTGAAAGCAAAACAACACTAACAATGCTGAATCTATAAATATAAATAGGATCTAGTTTTTTTAAATAATAAAATATATAAACAGTAGTTATTTGGTCTGATTTTTTAAAATAGAAACCAAATTGTTTATATCAAAAACAAGAATTCACAATAATTGAAGATCAAATAAGGGAAGCTATTTTGCTCAATTATATGCCAACAAAGCTTATAGCTTAGATATTATGCATTAATACTTACAAAAAATATATAAAATACCCAGATTAACTTAAGAAGAAATAGATTATTTAATTAATCCAATCTCAGAAGAAAAAAAATGAACAAGATATAAATAAGCTCTCAAAAGAAAAAACTACAGGACCAAATGGATTTTCAAGTGAATGCTATTAAATATTCAAAAAGAATTAAGAGTAATATCTCAAAAAATCTTTGCAAAAATAAGAAAATAAGGGACCCTTCCAAACTCTTTCTATGATACAAATATAATCTTGTTACCTAAATTAGGGAGAGACAAAGCAGAGAAAGAAAACTAACAACTAATATATTTAATGAACATTAATGCAAAAATATTAGCCAAGAGACTCCAAAAACATATTTATATGATTGTATACAATGACCAGATCAGGTTTATGCCTGAAATGTAGGTTTAGTTCAATATTAGGAAAACTATAAACACAATGGGTCATATTAATAACAAAAATCATGAAAACCACATAAAGTCAACAAATGTTGAAAAGGCTTTTGATAGAATATAATACTTGGTTCAGTTAAAAAAAAAAGAAAAAGAAAAAAGAATCAGAGAGTTGGGAAATAAATGGATTTTTCTTTATCTATAACCAAGAGCAAACATTATATTTAATGGAGAAATGTTAGAGGCTTTTCCAATAAAATTAAGGTTAAAGCAAGGATGTCCATTATCATTACTACTATATAATATACTGCTAGAAATGTTAGCTCTAGCAAAAAAAGACAAAAAAAAAACTATCACTTTTGCAGACTATATAATAGTTTATCTAGAGAAATTTAAAGATTCAACTAAGAAATTAATTGAAACTATATAGTAAGCAAAGTTGTAGGACATAAAATGAATCCAAACAAATCACCAGAATTTCTGTATCTTATCTCAGCAAAAACAGATGAAAAGAGAAACCCCATTGAAAATAACCACGAAAATCTATAAATACGTGGAACTCTACCACACAAAACACACATGGGAATTATATGAATGCAACTATAAAAACACCATTTACAAAAATAAAGGAGTAAATAACTGGATAAATATTAATTGATCATGGATAGGCAAAGCCAATACAATAAAAAGAACAGTATTATCTAAATTAATTTACTTATTCAGTTCTACAAACAACTAAACAGTGAAAGATTACATGATAGAACTAGGAAAATAATAGCAAAATTCATGTGAAAGAATAAAAGTTTAATAATCTCAAGGAAAATAAAATTTAAAAGTAGGAAGGATGGGGCCTAGTATTACTAAATCTCAAATTAAACTATTACAAAGCAATCATTAAAAAATGATTTGGTACTGGTTGAAAAATAGAGAGCTAAGATTGAAGAATATTTTTCCTCTTTCTTTTTTTTTCAAAACATGAGGAAATTTGTTTTGCATGACTTCATATTTGTAATGAGTTTTGTATTTTTTGCCTTCTCAATGGATGGGGGAAAGGTAACAAGCAGGAGAAAATCTGAAACTGAAAATAAAATTAAATTAGATAGTTTTTTTTTTTAAAAGAAAGAAAAATAGAGAGCTTGATCAATAGAACAGACAAGTTACAAACGAACCTTGTAACCTGGTGAAAGAACTCCCTATTTGACAAAAACTACAGAGGAAAACTGGAAAGCAGCCTTACAAGAAATCAGCATATACCAACATTTCACACTATACATCAAAATAAGCTCCAAACATATATATGATTTAGACATAAAGGATGACATCATAAACAAATTAGAGGAGCAAGGAGGGATTTATGCATATGGGGAAAGCTCATAATCAAAGGATAGAGAGGATCACAGAATATAAAATGGAAAATTTCGGTCACATAAAATTTAAAGGTTTTTTTTTTTTTTGCACAAGCACAACCAGTGCAATTAAAATTAGATGAGAAACTGGTAAAGTTCTGAGAGATATAAGAAACTAAAAAAATTTATAAGCATGATACATATGCCAATATATATGACCAAAGAATAAAAGCAGGTAGGTTTAAAAGGAAGCAATCTTATTAACAAATGGGAGAGGGGCAACTCCAAATTACTAACAATTAGAGAAATGCAAAATGAAAGAAACTCTAAGGTTCTATCTCATACCCAACAGACTGTCAAAGATGACATAAAAGGAAAATAACAATTGTTTAGGGAGCTACATGAAAACAGGCATATGTCCAGGGCTTCTGGAAAGCAATTTGGAAGTATGTCCAAAAATTTATAAGCTGTACATACCATTTGACCCAGCCATACCATAAGTACAAAAATGTTTATAGCAATTGTTTTCATAATGGCAAAGAAATGGAAAGTAAAGGGGTAACCCATCTATTGGTGAATGGCTAAATGATGGCATATGAGTATAATAAAACATTATTGCAGCCTGCTAAGAGGCACAGTGGATGGAGTGCCAGCCTCTGAAGTCAAGAAAGTGTGAGTTCAAATATGACTATAGATACTTCCCAAATCACTTAACCTCTGTTTGCCTCAATTTCCTCATCTGTAAAATAGAGATAATAATAGTGCCTCCTTTCCAGAGTTGTTGTAAAGATCAAATGAGATAATAATTGTAAAGTGCTTAGCAGAATGTCTGGCACAGAATGTACTACATAAATGTTAACCATTATCATTATTATAAGAAATGACTAAACAGTTCCAGAGATATCTGGGAAGACCTTCTTGAATTGATGCAGACTGAAATGAGCAGAACCAAGAGAACGATGTATGTGATAAAAATGTTATTAAGACAAACAACTTTGAATCAATGAATTTAGACCATTGTACACAGTAACAGCGATATTATACAAGGAAGAGCTGTAAATGACTTAGCTATTCTCAGCAATGCAATGATCCAAGACAATCCCAAAGGACTAATGATGAAGCATACTATCCACCTCCAAAGAACTGATACTGTCTGAATACAGACTGAAGAGGGCTCTTTTTCACTTTCTTTCATTTTTTTTATTTGAGTCTTCTTATACAAAATGACTAATGTGGAAATATTTTATATGATTGCACATGTATAAACTATATCCAGTTGCTTACCATGTCAGGGAGGGGGAAGGGTAAAGAGGGAGTGATGGATAGAATTTGAAACAAAACTTTTTTATGTTTAAAATTTTGTTTTAACATACAAATGTGGGAAAATGAAATATTATTTTTTAAAAAAAAGAAGAAAAACTTTACATGTGACCACATTTTGAGCCTTACAATAAATACCATCGACAGGGGTTCTTAATCTTGGGACCTATGAACTTTTTCCCCAATATTTTAATAACTATATGTAAATATAATTGATTTCCTTTGTAATCCTAAATCTTTTATTTTATATGCTTAAAAACATTACTCAGGTAGGTAGGTTTCACCAGATTGCCAAAAGGATTTATTACACAAAATGTATCCTTTTTTCCTCATAACAACCCTGATTAATAGGTGCTACTTTTAATGCTCCCATCTTACAGATAAGGAAACTAAAGTTGAAAGGCGTTCAGCCAGGTGCCCAGGATCACACAGTTATTCAGTGCCTAAGGCAGGATTTGAGTTCAGATCTTCCAGACTCCGGATCTAGCGCTCTATCTACTGTGCTATATCCAGCTGCCTATAAAATACATAAGATTACAAAGAGAGTCAATTCTATTGAAATAATCATTAAATATTTAAAAATTAATATTACATTAAAATATTATTTTAAAAAATCCACGGACCAAGGACTGCTAGGTGGCAGTAGATAGAGCATCGGCCCTGGAGTCAGTGGGCCCTGAGTTCAAACCCAGCCTCAGTCACTTATAGCAGTGTGACCCTGAGCAAGTCACTTAAATCCAATTGACAAAAAACAAGGGCCCCACAATAAAAATTTTTGCTAATATAGAAATATGTTTTTTCATGCTTTCACATGTACAATTAACGTTATATTGCTTGGTTTCTCAAAGGGTGACGGAAGATTTCAGAACTCTAAAAAATTTGAGTTAAAAATACATTTAAAAAAATAAGCTCCTGCTCCTGGGTTTTACAGCTCTAAGTTAAAATGTTTCCAGGAATCTGTGATTCTCCCCTCTGTAAATACATCCTTTAATAAAGCGGCTCCTACACTCCCAATACCAACTTCTGCTCTGAGGTCTAAAAGCCGACCCGCCCACTGCCTTCTGCAATTGACCAGCAGGGGGAGACGTCCGTTCTGCTTTCCTCCAAGGGCAAAGAGCGCGCACGCGCAATAACAGAGAGAAAGTCCCTGCAGCCGGCTGGTAACAGCTGCAGAGAAAGGGGGAGGGGCGAGTTCTAGGAGCAACGCGCCTACATGCGATCTGCTTGTCTTGGGTGGCTGCTGAGGCCACTGTCCTCTTAACGGGGAGCAGGAGCAATAGCCCCAGCAAAGCAGGGCCAACCGACGGCCCTCAGTGGTTGGCAGCAGCCTCTGCACAGAAGGGAACGTGCAGAGGTCGGAGCAGGTGGATGCCCGCCTTAAAGCGCCCTCTAGGCAGCGGAAGTGTGGCTTTCTTTACATCCGTCCTCTCGAATCGCAGTTAGGAGAGGAAGGGGGGAGGGGGAGAAGGGAGGGGAGAGGAAAAGTCACTGCATAATGTAAATAAACACGCGCTCTCACCCCACCACCACCACCCCCCCCCGCCCCATCAGCCCTATGCACCCCGGCCTTCGCAGCCCCAGCGAGACTCCAACCCCAGGCCATGAACGCGAGCGGCGGGGGCGAGGGCTTCCCCGGCTCAGTCCAGTGTAAGTTATGCCGCACGGCGCGCTCCGGGGTCCGGGCTGGAACACACTGAGGGAGAAGTGGGCCGAGTCGGGAGCCCCGAAACCTGGGTAGCAACAACCTGCCGGCGCGAGCCCCAGCCCGGGAACCTGGCTGGGAGAGAGCGCGCGCCTGCGAGCGGAGGAGGGCGTGGGAGCCTGGGACGCTGCTCGCTTGCTTTTTTCCGGGCAATGCTGCAGCTACGCGGGAGCCGGGGTGGGCTGCGGCTGTATCCAGGGACAGTTACAGCATCAGCACCGCCAGGGCTTCTGTCTCCCCCCCCACGCTCCGACGTCTGCAGAATCTAGAGGGCCCTCCGAAGGAGTCAGGGGACAGTAGCTTGGGAAAAAGTTTGAGTCTACCCCACCCTTGGTTCGTGGTCCCCTCCCCCATGAGGCTAGTGGCCAGGAGTTGAGGGACATTTATGTCAGGAGAGAGAGGCTACAAGGGGGGAAGCAATAGGAAATCCCTGCAAAGATAAAGCTAGAAAAGTTATGCCACACTCACACCAAATCCTGCTTTGTTGGGGAATATGATTTCAGCATTAACAATTGGTTAAAACGCATTTGCATGGCCCCATTAATAAGAAATCAAGGTTAGCTTAAGATGCAAAAGGCTTCCTGCAAATTATGCAGTTTACCCTTGGGTGGGTTGGGGTTTGTTGGGGAAAACGACTTTCTTTTTAACATCATCCCTTTTTAATACTTGCTGTCCCTTGGATTAGAAACAGTGTCAGGAAAAAAAATTTTTTTAACACTCTCAGTTACATCATCTGCCTCTTTCAAGCTTTAACCTAATTAGAAAGTGAGGCCTTGATCCATCAATGAAAAAATGTATAATCACTTCATTTCTTATTTCCTCAGTTAACCCAGCTGCTAAAGGAGGAATAGCTACAAAGAAATTATACTTAAGAAGGATTTAGAGATCCTTAGGAGAAAAAAGGCTATCTAAATTTAAAGTATTATTGATGATATAACATCAGTGATAAAATACTGAGAATAACTTGGGCTTTACTTTACTAAAAGTAAATATACACAGTACACTTGTTCTTTAAGAGACAGAGGGAGAAAGAAATTATTCAATTATTTTAGATAGCATATATTGAAGGCCTCACTTCTTTAAAAAAAAAACTTGCTTTGTAAATGTAAATTTAATTGGGCTTGTTATTTAAAAACTCACAAGAAATTCATCAGTGTTTCAAATGATCGGTGGTGTTCTTCCACCCAGACAGATAGAAGTCTCTGTATAACTTAATAACTGTTTTCATAAATTTCTGTGGCCAGGCTTTTCCTGACATGTTTCTGCACATAGCTAACCTGATCCTCAGGTGGTCTTTACATTTTGGCAGGACCTCCCAGAGTTTGCCCTCCACTGGCAGAACCTTGGAGAATCTGGGATTACCTCCATGCCAGGTTAATCCATCAAGTAGGCTTTTAGTGGTAGTATAAGAATTTACCTTTTTAAAAAATTTCACCAGAAAGAGCATTTAATTTGGAGTTAGAGGACCTGGGTTCAAATTCTGGTTCTGGCACTTATTGCCTATTTGACCTTGGACTGATCACTTCATTTCTCAGAGCTTCAGTTTTCTCATCTGTAAAATGAAGAGGCTGTACAAGATGAACTCAGAGGTCCCTTCTGGCTCTAAACGTATCGCCCTTGTATATGACCTTTATCATTAGTCCAAAAATAAAAGCCCATTCAGTTTGCATTTGGAAAATGTTTTTAATTCACTTGTGAATTTTTCTCTTCATTTTATGTAGTTCCTGGTGGCACTACTGTCTTAGTGGAACTAACCCCAGATATTCACATCTGTGGCATTTGCAAGCAGCAATTTAATAACCTGGATGCCTTTGTAGCCCATAAGCAAAGTGGTTGTCAGCTGACCAGCACTACCCCCGGTGCTCCCAGCACAGTTCAGTTCGTGTCAGAGGAAACGGTGCCTGCTACCCAGACTCAGACCACCACAAGAACCATCACTTCAGAGACCCAGACCATCACAGGTATGTATAGCTTTAATTACTTGGAAAATAAAAATGGAACCATAGATGGCATGATCCTTGTGACTAAATGCCAGCTCTTGGGGTATCCCAGGCTTTTACCACTGACTTAAAAGGAGGCTAGTCACAAAATCTTAAAGTTGAGAGAGGTTTTCATCCCTCTTCTATATAACCAGACCTTTTTGTATAGATGAGGAAATTGAGATTCAAAGAAGGCAGATATCTTGCCAGAGGTGACACAGGAAGTTAGTTAATGGCAGATCTGGGACCAGAACCCAGCTTTCCTGATTCTTTTCTCTTAGTGTAATACTGTTCTCTATGAAGAGAAAGCCCCTGGATTGAAGTCATCATCAATGAACTCAATCATTTGTGTATAATACCAGAAGGTTCTGGGTAAGGAATCTTGGGGGTTATACTTTAACACAAGGAAGAAAATCATAAGTTTCTAATGTGGTTACTAACTCGACCCTCTTCCCATTCATTCAGTGAACAGTTAATAAATGGTTAACTATGTTAAGAACATGGGGCTAGATACTAGGAGAGATACTAAGTTTAGACAGCAGTCCCTGCCCCTACTCTAGATCTTTCTTTTTTTTTTTCTTCCTTATTCCATCACTATCCAGTATTGGATAATTCTTCTGCCATGCCATGCTAAGCTAGATGAAAGAGTGGTTGTATTCTTCACTCATCACCACCGTATCCAGACCCACTGACTGCTGTTGACCCTCACCTATCTTTTCTCCTTTGAAGTTTACTCCATCTGCCTATATCACCCAGTCCAGATCGTGTGTGTGTGTGTGTGTGTGTGTGTGTGTGTGTGTGTGTGTGTGTGAGACACTGCCCCTGGTTCACTCCCCCTGTTTTCTCAAGGATTTCGGTACCTTCCTCTCCACTCCTTCAATATACTCCTACCATTGTCATATTCTAATTCATCAAATTTCTTAACTTGCATGTCCTATATCTTCACTACACCTCTGTTAGGCACAGGGCTAGTCATACTTTAGATCTTACTAACCCCAGTAACTGCTGCTTCTGTGATACTGAACTCTGAAATCCCCTTCTCTGATCATAACCTCTTATTTTGTCTCTGCCTCTGCCTCAGTCTCATTCCTTCTAAACCTAGGCTTTATGCTCTTGACAACTTCTGGTCCTTCCATCCCAGTCTGAAACTCTACTTTCTTTGCTTCATTGTCTCAGCACTGTCGTTGACCAGTTCAGCTACATCCTGTTCTCTGCCTACATCCCTTGCCCCCATTTCCGAAACCTCTGCTCAAAAGTTTCCAAACTGCTAAGGCAGCATGGTAAAGCCCCCACATAGGGCTCTGGGCCTGGAGTCAAGAAGACCTAAGTTCAGATTCAGCCTCAAACACTTCCTAGTTCTGTGACCCTGGGCAGATCACTTAATCCTGTCTGCCTCAAGTTCCTCATCTGTAAAATGAGCTGGAGAAGGAAATGGCAAACCACTCCAGTATCTCTGCCAAGAAAACCCCAGATGTGGTCACACAAGGTCAAACACAACTGAACAACAAGAACCACATAGGATTGTTGTGAGGATAAATTAGATAACATTTGTAAAGTTCTTAGGACAGTTCCTGGTACATAATAAGTGCTTAATAAATGTTTATTTCCTTCCTTTCACTACCCTGGGTTACCCCCACCATCTGCTTTTACTATTCTACTCCCATGCTGCTGAATGCTCCCAAATGCCACAGAAAGAAGCCATACAGCTGTATTGGCTGGTTATTGTTATTTCATATTTTAATATTGTTATTTTGATATTCAGATTTATGTAATTTAATCTCAGCTGGGTCCTCAATGCTTCCTAGCAATCCTTTCATACTTCCTTGATTGATTCTCTACCATACTCCCCATAGCAGCTATTCCAAACCTCCTCAAGTCCCCTACACCAGTGATATCAAAAACTGCAGGCCATGTGGCCAGCAACACTTCCCCATGCATCCCAAAATCAGATTAAAATATAATTGGAAAATATTTAACAAAATAAGTAAAAATACAATAAAAAATAGATGTTACATTTTAAAACTAGGTCAGTATGCAGCCCACAGGTTTCCTTATGTGTGGTTTAGTGGCCCCCCATTTCTGTTTGAGTTTGACACCACTGATCTAAGAGCACCTCCTCCCTTACAGCCCCTGACTTTGTCTCCTACTTTACTAAGAAAATCTAGGGAGTCCGCTCAGTTCCCTCTTTTTCCCTCCTCCACACCTTTTATCTCCCATTGTCTTCAAGAAGAAGTAGCCTTTCTCCTTACCAAAGCCACTGCTTGATCCTGTTCCCTCCTGGCTCCTCCAGGAGCTTGTCCCTTCAATAAATCTTACCCTCTTTGACTCTTATTTCACTCTTTTCCTAATCTCCTTATTTCTATCTTACCACCTACAAACATGCCCAAGTTTCCCACTATCCTTAAGGAAAAACAAACTTTTGCCATCTCTTCAACATCTTATCCTGCATTTCATCTTTATTTCACAGCCAGACTCCCAGAAAACATCACCTATTTTCATTGCCTTTGTTTCATTATCTCCCACTCACTCTTCAGCCTCTGGAAATCTTGCCCTGTGTGCACATACTTTTTTTTTTTTTTTTTTTTTTAGGCAGTTGGGGTTAAGTGACTTGCCCAAGGTCACACAGCTAGTACATGTCAAGTGTTTGGTCTGAGGCCGGAGTTGAACTCAGGTCCTCCTGACTTCAGGGCCAGTTCTCTATCCACTGCGCCATCTAGCTGCCCCCATGCACATACTTTCTCCTCCTTTCCTCCCCTCTTTCCCCATACTTCCTAGCTGACATACTGAGACAGCTCCACTTCTAGGTGACTCCTCCACATCCCAGTGATTCTGAACTCCCAGTTCCCATTGTCCAAACCTCGTTCTCTATCTCTCACTGACTGCTTCCTTATTCTCATTCCCATCAACCCAGTCCCACACACACACACATCCCTGCCAGCTCTAAAGACAACCATCCCTTCCATTGTGTTCTCTAGAATACCTGCTCTATAGGTAACAAATTTGTTTTCATCTTAAACCTTTTCCTTTTTTGTTCTCTTCATCTTCTTGTGATCCCTGACACCCAGCTACCCTCTCCATCACTGCTTGTACTCTCATTGGTCATGGTGGGGGAGCTGGAACACTCCTTGCACCCCACTGCCACTTCCAGACTCTCCCCTACCACCATCGCTAAGCAGTCTCCCCTTCTTTGAGGTTCATTTAATCCATATTTATTACATAATCAAGATTCCAGTGGCTGTTGTCTGTTGACCTCCAGGATACTTTCTTTCCTCCCTCAGTGAGTTCAATGTGGGGCTCATAGTTTTTATCTCCTCACCAACTCCTGCCCTCATATTAAGGGACTTCAATACACATATACATACATTCATCTATACATATGTGTGTGTATGTATGTGCATGTATATATGTGTGTATGTATATATACATATGTATATGTGTGTGTGTATATACATATACACATATACACATATATGTGTGTATTCCCTCAAAAACCCTAACTGAATTCCTCAATTTGTTCATTTCCTATGAGCTGCTCCTCTACGCACCTCAACTACACACAGATATGGTAATAACCTTGATTTTGCCTTCACCTTCAAGTGTTCTACTGCTGTTTATGATGTCTGAAATTCTTTTATCTTATAATATGTTATCATTCCACCTCTTCCTCTGCCTTGCATCTTGCACGCTGTTTTTCATCCTTACCATGATCTATCATTACTCTACCATCAGTTCTTTCCTAGGCCAACACCCCTGCACTGCACAGTCACCTCTTTTCCGTATCTTGATCATTTGGTGAACCAGTTCAACTGTATTCTGTCTTCTTAAGGCCATTGTCCTCTTATCCTGTTGCTGTTCTTGCCCTGTCAAGCATCAGCCTTGGATTACTTCACCATCCACTGCTTTCACTCCTACATTCACATGCTGCTGATCAAAGGTGGAGAAAATCATGAAACCAAACTTACTGGATCCACTACAAATTTATATTATATAATCTCAACTCAGTGTTCACTGTGTTAAAGCAATTCTTTTATGTCTCCCTAATCAGTTCACTACCCACTCTCCACAACAGCTCTTCCAAACTTTTTCATCCTCCCTCAAACCTTCCACAGATCCCCTTTACCCTCCTCCTCAGCCAAGAACCTCATCTTTCACTGAAAAAATTGAGGCCATCCACCAGGAGCTCCCTCTTCTCCCTTCTTCCTAATTTCACATCACTCAGATACCTTCTGCCACTATCTCCTCCCTCACCCTGTCTCACATGATGATGTAGCCTTACTCCTTACCAAAATTAATCCCTCTACATTCACAGGAGATCCCATGCCATCTCATCTTCTCCAGGACATTGTCCCTTCTCTCTCACTAATCCTCAGTCTCTCTCACGGCTGTTTTCCCTACTGCCTGTATATATGCCTGTGTTTCCCCATTCGCAAAAAACCCTCAGTTGGTCTGTCCATCCCTACTAACTACTATCCTATATCTCTCCTCCCTTTCATGAATAAATTTTTTGAGAAAGCCATTTAAAATCAGTGCCTTGCCTCCTTTTCCTCTCTTCTAAATCCTCTGCAATCTGGCTTCTGATTTCATTATTTAACTTTTCTCTCCAAAGTTACCAGTGATCTTTTCCTTGCCCGGTCTCATGGCCTTTTCTCAGTCTTCCTCCTTCTTGACCTCTCTTGAGCCTTTCATGCTGGCAGTCACCCTCTTCTCCTGGATACTGTCTTCTCACTAGGTTTTTGTGACTGCTCTTCCTGGTTCTCTTCCTACCCATCTGACCATTCCTTCTCAGTCTCCTTTGCTGGATCTTCATCCAGATTGTGCATGCTCTCCATGATGTCCCCAAGGCGATGTGCTCATCCCTCATCTTTTTCCTCTGTACTGTTTTGCTTGGCAATCTCACCAGTTCCCATAGATTCTATTCTCATCTTTAAGCAGATGATTCTTAGATGTATTTCTCTAGTCCCAACCTCTCTGCTGACTTCCAG